AACAAAGTTGTAATACCCTTGTGCACAAGTGCGCTCGGGTATAAAAAGTGTAAGCGGCTTACTTAGTCCGCAAGCGCGAAAGAAATAGTAACATTTTTGGCAGCATACAAACCAATTGAACTCTTTTCTAAAGCAGTAGGCGAAGCTACTGTGATGTTCTGCCACACTATGTACTATATGTGTCGCGAACATATCGCACACCTAGATCTAAAGTGCGATCAACTCAAAAAAAAAATGTGGGCGATTTTTTTGCATAAATCAATTTATAGGACTCACGTACAATTAATGGAAACATTTTTTTTACGTTTATAACTCCTCCTTATCAAGGCTCGACCTCGACATAACCAATATATTTCTGGCTTGTGAAGGCATTCCAACTCCCCATTTTTACCCTTAAGCCCATTTAAGACTTACTAGCGATAACAACAAGGAATTTGAGAAAAAAACTCCTTCAAAACCCGTGGCATGTAAGAAAATTTGTTGATAGGAATATCTTCTTCTACCAAATCCGTTTGAGTTGTATTGCTTGTTGTACTAAAGATTTGTGAAACAGTATATAAATGAAATGAACTGCATTGTCCGTGCCAATAGGGAAGCAGCGAGTAAGGTAGCACCCGCTTCCCTTTTATTAAGGATATTATTTTAATGGAAGTTAGGGAGTTAGTTTAGTGCCAAAAATAACGGGAACCCAACTAGTTCTGACTTTTATAAAAAAAAGTTATGAGTATGAAAAAAAGCTACAGTAAAATGTTGACTTTTATTTTTTTCAGTCAGTTAATCGGTGCCAAACATTTGTATAGATCAAAATTAAATATCTAATGAGAATAATAGAGTGGCGCATATGGCCGAGCTTCTCCACCGATTTTTGGCGTACGCCTTGATTTTATCACACAAAGGGGAGGGAACTGTTGACGGGACTTGTTGATGACCGTTTCGGAATTAGTTCAAGAAGAGTTCGGGGCAAGAGTGCGGGGACTCATTTGTTAATAAGTTTTGAACTAGTCGCAAAATGGTGCCAAGCTTGTACCGAACTGGACTAAAACTAGTCCAAAAATGGTCCTCAACTAGACCCGAACTAATATCAAAATGTTCCCGAAAAAGTCCCGAACTAGTTTCGAAATTATACCGAAAAATTCCTGAATTAGTCTCGAGCTGATCCCGAAAAATTTACAAAATGTTCCCGAACTAGTCTGCAACTGATCCAAAAAGTTCCAAAATGGTCCCGAACAAGTCCTTAACAAGTGTCAAACTGTCCCGAACTGGTGCCGAAAAAGTTCCGAACTAGCCTTGAACTGGCCCCACACTAGACGCCAAATATATCATATTTATTATCAAAATAATTTTATAACCCTTACAGAAATTTGGCTGACCTTTTTAAAAGTCCACCATTCAGTAATTATTCTGGGTATCTGGTTAAAACTTTATTTCTTTCAACAGTAATTGAGATCCTTATTTTTTTCAAACATCGAATGACTAATCGTGGTTGACTCTAAAACTGCGCACGTTAAGGTTGACGACCGACATAAGTTGGTATTTTAATTTAAATTAAAATATATATTCGTTTTGGTTTAACCACTGAAAAAAAACAAATCATTAATTTGCAGAAAAATTCAAAAAAAAAAATAAAATAAATAAAATCGCACAGAAAGCATAATTATGTCCAAAAAATGTCAAGGCACCGACCGTTTCATATTTCGCGTAAAAATAGAACAAAAACTTACCACTTACAGAAGTGAATGCACTTAATGCACAAAAAAATGCGGAATCAGTTTTTTTTATATAAACCGGATAAACCTTCGACTCATGCTCGAATTTGCATGGAACATCAAAAAAGAACTATAACACGATAAAAATATATTTTGCAAAAAAAAAAATGCGCTGCTCCACAAAAAATTATGCGCTTTTAAAGAACTTTCGCCGACTACAGCAAAAATCCAACCGCCAACCGCCAAGTATCGAGTTCGATGACAAGCCAATATGTAGCACCAAAAAAGCATTGTAGTTACGAGTATAAAAAACCCACTGTTCGCTATCCTAAATCATTAGTTCACTTTAGTAGCTACACAGTTCCAGTCACTTGTACTCAAGTCAAACTTACCAGCCAAGATGAAATCCTTCGTTTGCATTGCTCTAGTCGCCGCCCTCTTCAGCGTTGCCTTGGCTAGCCCAGCTGGTAATGCGGCTGCCACATCTAGCGTCCAGGAAACCCAAGCCGAGCAGAATCAGCAAGCTGCCTACGATTTAACACGTTTCCGTAAATCCGCTTATGGTGCCGCTCCCAGCATTCCAGCACCGCCTTGCCCCAAGAACTACCTGTTCAGCTGTCAACCTAACTTGGCTCCAGTTGCTTGCGCTTCTCCCGCCGCAGCTTCATACGGCTCAACTGGTGCCTACTCAGCGCCCATTCCCGCTTACGTCGCTCCTATTCCTGCTGGCTATGCTGGTATGGGCTTCAACCCCAATCAATACTACCAATATTGAAAAGGAAATGATCTGGAATGGCATCGGAATCCAAGTAGAGGACAAGCGATAAAAATGTGGATGCGAAAGAGTAGCTAAAGCAGATTTATTACTTGTATTTTTTAGGAGATTGATAAATATTAGTGAAAAAATAAAGGAATTAGTTATAGCTATGTGCATATGTATTTAAATCATAAAGCTTTGAATTTTATTGTCGAGCGGAGCAGTGCGCTGATAATGGTGGGGGGATGGCCTTTCTTGTACTAAGTCAGCGGATCGAGTTTTGATTTTCGAAAATAGCTCTTGGTTCTCTGAAAGTGTAAGAAAATTTATTGGAATTTTTCGTCGAAATTTATTGAATCATCGAGGCATTTAGCTATCGAAATTTTACGGGTTATCCATGTTTATTGAGTTATCGGCATGTATGGGGTTGTTCAAATTGATCAATTTTTTTTTTTGAGTTATCGAGACAAATATAAAAAGTTAGTTGTCGAAATTTACAAAAGTTTTCGAAATATATAAATTTATCGGATTATCAAACTTCTGCCAAGCTATTGAAATTTGTTAAGTTATCGATATTTATTAAATTATCAAGTATTTATCGAGTTATTGAGTATTATAGAGTTAGCAAAGTTTATCGAGTTATCGCCATATATCGATATTTGTTGCCTTATCCAAATTTGTTGGTGGTTTTTGAAGTTTGTACTTTTTTCGAATCGAAGCACTTGCAATTTTCAAAGTACATATATCGGGTTATCGAAATTTTTGGGTTATATAAGTTTATCGACTTATCACTATCTATCGATTTATCAAATTTTATCCAGCTAGCAGGGTGTATTGAGTTACAGAAATTAGTCGACAGCTATCGGAGCTAATCAAGTTACCGAATTGATCTAAAGTGAGCTAACTCGAAATTCAGAGAAAGAAATATAACTGCTTATGAATCTTACAGATTCAACGCAATTAATTAAAAAAACAGGTATAACAGTAGGTTTTTAGTTAATGTATTTAATCATGAAGAAAGAAGTATTCGCATTAATTTGATGTGAGTCCTATGCATTGATTTATGCAAAAAAAATCGCCATAATTTTATTTTGAGCTGATCGCACCTTAGATCTAGGTGGGCGATTTATCCAGATAAGTATTTAAATTTTTGACATATCGGTATTTAAATAGTATATATTAACATATGTATATACCCTGAGTAACTGTCGAAAAACGTATGTCTTGGAACAATATTATAAAATTAAATGGCAGAAAATTGTTGCGTGAAAAAATGTACCTATGCCCAGTTTTTAAATGAGCCAAACTGTATGACCCCGTTGTAAGCGCAAAATATTTTGTCCAGTTTTCAGAAAACAAAAAAAAAACAAACACGTCCAGTTTGTAATAATGAAATGATTAAAAATTTGCGTACAAATATTTAAAAGACAAACAATTTGTATACTTTTTAAGTGACCAGAAATTTATGTTGAATTTTTAAAAGCTTAGAAAGTTATGACCATTTTTGAAAGTTAAGTCCAGTTTTTAAATTAGCAAAAATATAGATATGTTATGTACAGTTTTTGTCAGACCAATACTTTATGGCCAATTTTTGAAAGTGTAGAAAGTTATGATCAATTTTGAAATTTATGTCCATTTTTTATGTTACCAAAAATATTGATACACATGTATGTATATCCAAATCTTTTAAGGGTCAAATAATTATGTCCAGTTTTAAAATTACATGAAATTGTATGTCCAATTTATGTAAGCGTAGAAAGTTAAGAGCAATTTCGAAATTTATGTCCAGTTTTTACATAACCAAAAATATACATAGTTATGTATGTTCAAATCTTTAAAATAGCGGTCGCCCCTTGGCAGAAAATGGCAAACATCTGAGTGTATTTCTGACATGAAAAATAGCCGCGTCAATTGTATATAAGCGCCAGTCAAATGTCAAATTATTCTAAGAGTCAAAAAGGATGCCCGGGTTGTAAATTTATGTCCACTTTAGAAACGATCAAAAGTGTATGTTCAGTTTTTAAATAATAAAAAAATCATGTCCATAAAAGTTGCTCCTGTTTTAAAATAACTAAACAATAAGTCCAGTTTTCACATGACCAAAATTTATGTTCAGTTCTAAATGACCAAAAATTTTGTTCCAACTCTTTAGTACCAAAATATTATATTCGGTTTTTAAGTTTCCAGAATTTTATTCCGACTTTTCAAATGGTCAAAAAGTTATGTCCAGTTTAATTAAAAATGAAGGACAGTTTGACCATAAATTATTAAATATTGTACCTACATACATATGTAAGTTTCATTTCCCAGCGTTCGTACATACATACATATGTACATAAATATGTTCTACATATGTATGTATGTACTTTAAATTGATAAAATTAACCAAAGAGTATAAAAATA